CCGACGCCGCCGCCCCCGCCTCCGCCCTGGCCCCGGCCCGACCCGCACTCCAGCGCCCCTTCCTCTGGCCTCCGCCTCCCGAGCGCCGAGCTCGAGTTTCCGCCCCGCGACGGCCCCCAGACCTCAGGCCGGCGTCACCCGCACTCACCTGCCGCTGCCCCCGACCAACTCCAGCGCCACTGTCTCTACCTCGGCCGCCAGAAGCCACCAAGCGCCACCACCTCCCCCATGACAACAGGCCCACCCCGTTTTATACTTCCTACCTCTCCATTGGCTAGTGAGGCAGCGTCTCTCTGCTCTAATTGGCTTAGTTTACTTGTCCGTCATAGCTTCCTGACCGCCCCTTTTCCTGGACCCGGTATTAGCTCCCGCCCGGACCTGGAGCGTTCTAGACCAAGCTTTAGCTGTGATTGGCTGGCGGTTGGGCAGTTCGAAGTTATGATAGGCTGGCTAAAGTGTCTGTTAAATCAACTGGTAAGCGATGTGACGGCCGCGATTGGCGCAAGCACAGTTTGGTTGCGCAGTAGAAAGCCAGGAAGGGGCCGAAGCTCACACCGGAGGTTACCCGGGAAGGGTTAACTCTTTTGTTGTAGAGTTTACTTTGTGAACTCATCCCTCTCTCCAGCTCATCACTGCGTGCTTATTCATAGGGCAGTCCTTAGGAAACACCAACATCAGAGCTTGTGTTTAAGAAATGCTTCCCACTCCTTGGAAGAAAAAGTACTGTAGATAAATTCCTCCTTTTCTTGAGGTCCCAACGCGCCCAGTTTCTTTGAAGTTTTTCCCCGAAGTCTCCATGTTCAAAGGCAAAGCACAACCGTTTACTTAGCAGAAATCGGTCATTTCAGTCGCAGTTATCAACGTCGTTAATAAGTGCCGCGTTCAAAGTTCTCCAGGTTCCAGATTCACCCCTGGCTGAAGTGACCACGCAGCCATCAGCAAGTTTGTACTAAATGGGCCACATTTCACCCTTGTGATGCTCTGGAAATGAGAATTCCTCTCCTCCCACCTCCCCGCAACTTGATTTTAATGTTCAGCAGTTCTTAAATAGCCCTACTAGATGTGTGTCAGATACTTAAAAAGCTTGCCTTTTTTTCTAAACCGCTCCTCTTCCTAGCAGTCTAAATTAGGACCATTGAATGAATTGCAGTTCTTTTCTCACATTGGCACAATGCACAAGAATAAATGATTGCATTTTTTATTCATTTGGGTACAAATCACAGTAGGCGCTTTTGAGAAATCTGATGTTGCTATAAAAATTATTGTGCTCCCAGAAATATATTCGTCATTAGCTTTTTGCTTTTCTTTTTCATTCCACCCACTTTTCCTGCTCCTAAATAACAAAATGCTGTCCTGATTACTCTCAATTTCTAAAACAGATTTAAATGTACCTTCCTCACAACTCCATCTATAATACACAAACCCATGGGCCATGACAAATTCACTCAGAGATGGATTAGGATAGATCCAGGAGGTTGTCCACTTATAAGCATTATTTTATTAGTTGGAAACTTGTGTGGGACCAAGAATCTGGACTTTTGAAAATTTGTGTTTGCCTCTTTCTTCTTTCTGCTAACTCCTTGTCCCATCCTTTCTATTTACTCTCCTGTCCTTTGCAGAGCAAGCTACAAGGAGTCTAAAATTGCATGACTCATTATCTAGAAAAAAACAATGTCCATTTTCTAGCCTATAAACTGCATACCTCTATCACCAACCTAAGCGGAAATTATTCCTCCAGTAACTATACATTACAACAAGGTGTCTTTTCCTAGTTATTTTTTGGAACTTCCCTCCCCCTCTCTCATCTTCCAATTTAGAAATAACCTCCCCTTCAATTCAATGACTCATCAAAAGCCTGTAAAGGAAAGTGAAAAAGCCAAAATAACTTCAGACTTGCCTGAATCATTCAATTGAAGGAAAGATCAGACATTGACCATGATAAGATGGGATCCAAGACATAAGGCAAGCTTGAACTCACATCCCATAACAAATGAAGTAACATGCAAATGTAAAGATGCTCCAATGAGAGGAGGTATCAGTATGTGTCCTGAGCACAGCCTTGTAATATATTACCCGCAGCTTTCTTCTCTCTGGTCTTTTTTTTTTTTTAATATATTTTATTGCTTTTTTACAGAGAGGAAAGGAGAGAGATAGAGATAGAGAGTTAGAAACATCGATGAGAGAGAAACATCGATCAGCTGCCTCCTGCACATCCCCCACTGGGGAAGTGCCCGCAACCCAGGTACATGCCCTTGACCGGAATCGAACCTCAGACCTTTCAGTCCACAGGCCGACGCTCTATCCACTGAGCCAAACCGGTTTCGGCTTCTCTCTGGTCTTGACAACGTGTCCTACCTGCCAATTTTAGAACAAGTTGGAAGGCAGTTAACATACTGGTAGATAGGAAACAATAACGTCACAGGAGGGCATGGTCATTATGATGGTATTTTGGGTAATAATGGCTCTTGCACATCACATCCATAGAGAACATAGAATTAGGCCAGCCTCACTAAGAAGGTTTGTCATCTAAGTTCAGGAGCTCAAAAAATTACTATCACAAAACTAGGAAAATTGCCACAAAGGTCAGCTATTTTATACACTAAACAAAGATGTTATAGATATGTTTTGCTTGCACATGCACATACACTGGACCTCTCCCATTCCTTGTGAAAATAAGTTAAGAAAGAGAAATACAAAATGAACATGTACAATCCAGTAAGAAGAGATAAAGCCTTGAAGAGGGAGGGCTTTGAAGAGTATTCTTTGATCCAACAGAAAGCTATTGTGTTCTTAAAGCCCATGCAGTATACTGGAAAGGTGATTGCTCATACCCTATGTCTTGAATTTGCATGCACAGTGTAACCTTATAACGTAACTACTCCATCCAACTTCTCTTTTCTTTCCTGTGCTATGCGTTTCTCCATCTCTCTCAAGGCCCCCTCTTAGAAAGCAAGAACACTGGAGTCAGGGAGTCTGCAGCTTTGTGTTGTGTGGCTGGCTGTGGAGGTGGTGCAGATGGTATCTGTCCAGAGCCACTTGAGCAAGACCAGGATGGCAGGTATATTAAAGGCAAAAACAGCCTTTATAGATCCTGCTTAAGTGGAAAATGAAGGACTAAGAATTGAGGTCCCACTATCTAAGGAGGCATTTGGTTTGCCTTGGGCTTGGGTATATGCTGATGCTACTTTTTGCTCTCTTTTCTTTGCTATTTCTGCCCTCTTTTCATCATATCACTTTTCAAGGAGGTAGAATCCAAGTCTCTTTTCATTTCTATTTTAGTCCAGCAGAGCAATCTCACTAGAAAAAAGCTCAATTTTTTTGTTTGTTTATTTTGTTTTGTTTTTTATCTCTCCTCCCCCCTCTTCTCCCCCCCCCCAACCACCACCACCCTGGATTCTACACACTATTTCAAAAGAATTAGAAGAACAACTAGTGAAGAAGAAAATCAGTCAGATTGCAGAAAGGTCCAGAGCTGCCTGCTGCCAGCAGTTGGAGGCAAG